GTTGTATAAGCCCCCAATAAAATTATTTAAGATAATAATATAAAATAAATTAAAACTTGGCAAATGAGAAATATTGAAACAGGAGGGAGAATGGTTGTGCTACCACCTGAGAGAAGAACTCCTTAGGACCCAGCCTTTAGATTAGCGGTTCTCAACCTGTGGGTCACTACCCCTTTGAAGCTCTGGCCTGATCAAATATAATTGATACTGTTTTAACCTCAATGACCTCAGGGACCCTTCCCCTTGGGGAGAATCTGCCTAGTCCTTTTCTCTTAAGAGAAAAGGGGTTTCCCAAAGCGTAACAGTAGCAAAATTACAGTTATGAAGTAGCAATGAAAATAATTTTATGGTTGGGAGGTGGTCACCACATCATAAAGAACTGTATTAAAGGGTCATGGCATTAGGAAGGTTGAGAACCACTGCTTTAGATTCTACATTGTCTTTGTGGTCTGCCAACAGTGAGCAAATGACATGATCATCAAGGACGTACACAGACTCCATGTATTCTCACACCTAATGTGCAAGTATACTCTCAGCATTGGTATATAGTAAATAATAAGATTTCTCAAAATTCTTATGGTCTTTAAGCACATACTAAATGGAGGGTAGTATTGCCTGTTGAAGTTGTTGAATGGAGAAACAGTGACTTATCATGACTTTAACCATGACATTGTCATGAAAAAAAGTGCAATAAAATCACAACAAAAATCTACTGAGGAAAAAAAAGTATTTTAGTAAGACTCTATGGACTTGCTATTAGTTAGTTATTTCTGATTCTCTCTTAAGGGAAAAGGACTAGGCAGTTTCTCCCCAAGGGGAAGGGTCCCTGAGGTCATTGAGGTTAAAACAGTATCCATTATATTTGATCAGGCCAGAGCTTCAAAATCAGAGAACTCATCCTATTGCATCTTCCAACAGTCAGTCTGAGAAGAAAAATGTAGAGACGGGTCTCGGGATCTTGGGCATCAAGATGAGCCAGAAGGCAGCGGAACCCTGTCTTAGTTCACTCGTACATTCCTGACCTTGGTTGGATCGGGGTGTTTACGTAAGCTGAGCAGGGGTGGAAGAGATTGTGTCATGTGTGACAAGATGACCCATAAGTTCCTCAGCAGTACCAGAATAGTGGATAAGCTGGGGTTTGTTCATGATAAACTAAAGACTTGTAATAGCTGAAAAGTGGAACCTCTTCAAAAGATTGGGGTGTCTAGATGAGCTCTACACGACAAAATCTGTGTATTGTTCAGTTGAGGGGGAAAGTGGTTTCATTATATATTGTAACAAGAAACCGGAAAACAAAAAAGAAATATGAAAGGGAGGAGAGGGAAACCAACATGCAAAGAATTTTTTTTTAAACTCAAATGCTAATACTAGAAAAATCCATCAGAATAAAAGGAATTTCCTTTTGGTCTCTTTAACCAGTACATAAAAGTTTAAGCATAAACTGATAGAAATATGTTATAAGTTTATGTGACTATCACGCGACTAGGAAACCCTTGGTCTCCACTCCGAATCTCGAAGTCTGTGGCTCTAGGGAACGGTGACAAAGTCTGTCCTGCACTCTGGGAAGAGGATTTCTATCGCTTCCTGGCACCGGCCTCGACTTGTCTCGCTTTTTCATCCAGACCCTTGGCCAGGGACAGAAATAAGTAGGTGTATACAGGGGATCACTCCTACTGCTGCTGCAGGCTGGTTACAGATGATGATTAAAAGAGGAAGATGAATAGGTAAGTGTAGAGTCAAGGGACTTAAGTTTAATGTTCTGTATGTGTTCAATATTTGTTGAATACATCGTTGAAGAAAAAGGAAAAGCAGTAAGAGAAAATACAATAATGGAAAATTCTTAATATGTACTATCTAGAAATTCTATTCTAATACTGGAAGCTGCCCACAAAATGAAAGAACATTCATTTTCCTTCTTTTGGTTTTCTTATGGATCCTCTTTGCTGCAACAGAAGTATTCCCATGTGGCTGGATCCTCCAGAAATCAAGCAGGAAGCCTTAATCCTGCTTGGCAAAGGTAAGCCTTGTTTTCTAACATTGAACTATAATGTTATGTAACGTGTGAACAGAGGAAAAGCTGATAACATCTCAATTATAAGATACAATTAAGGCAGTAGTGTTAGAATCTGATAGCCTGAAATTTTTGGTTTGGTAGGATCTAAACAAAGATAATAGGAATAAGCACAGTGAGGATCGAGTGCTAAGTGGTGCAGATAGGCTGGGCTGCTGATTGAGAAGTTGGAGATTCAAGAGGGGCATCTCAGAAGAAAGGCCTAGGAATATACTTTTAAGAAATCTGTCAATGGAAACTCTAGGGAGCCCAGGTATAACCTGACACGGAGTCACCACAAATAACAGGTTTGGAATTTTAGCTTTTTACTCTTAATTTCAGGGGGGAAATTCGGAGTATATCTAAACGTGTCCTGTACCTCGTTAACCTACTTTTGCGTCCGATTGTTGCTTTTGTTGGGTACCATAGAGTGGGCTGTGATCCACAGTGACCCTGTGCACAGCAGAAGGAAACGGTGCATAGTCTGTGCCACCCTTACAGGTATTCTGAGGCCTGAGCCTGTTGTTGCAGCCAGGGTGTCGCCACTTCCTTGAGGGTCTCCCTATCCTTTACTGCCACCACCCCCGCCCCCCCACCTCACCAAGCAAGATGTCTTGGTCCAGGGACTGTTCCCTCCTGATGACATGTGCAAAGTAGGTAAGATGAAGTCTTGCCATCCTTGCCTCCGGATAGAGAGACCATTCCTGGCAGACAATTACTCATAACCCCATCTTAATAAAGCAGAACATCAAAAAGAATAAAAAGCAAATATATGATAGATAGAAGATTTGAAAGAGAGAGAAAGGTCACATCCTGACCAACCCTCCAGATCCCTTACCCATCGCAGCTAAGCATGGATCTGAGGGGCTGTGAAAGGAGGACCAGTGACACCGAAATCGAGTCGGATTCTTAGTGACGTACAAGTTCGTTTTAAAAACAAAAAAATAAAGGGAGGCGTTGGGTGTATAGAAGAGGCTGGTATGACTGGCTACCCTTTGCTGATCTAGAAAAGCTCAAGGTAATTTTAGTCATAAAGATGAAATATGAGGGAAAAATGTTTCCATAAATATTTACTAAAGGTGTGAAGGTAAGGGCACACATCAAAAAAATATGTTGTATTGATTAAAAGAATACTTTAATTCTGGGTTCATACTTATGTTTAAAATCTTTTTCTATTTACTCAACACCCATCCTAAAACCATGTATCTACTCTTTTATTCCATTTTTTTTTTCATTTTTCATGATATTTGAGTGACAGATTTGTTCACTGTAACAAGACTCAGGGCCTAAATCCAGTATCATCAGTATAGTAGTGCTCATAAGAATCCTTAGGTTGCCCAACTTACCTATTCACCTTCAACACAAAAAAAACCCCTCACTGCCATCAAGTGAAACTATTCCTGTGTGTTCTCCAGGCTGTAAATCCTTACAGGAGCAGAAAGCCTCATCTTTCCCCCTGTGGAGCAACTGGTGGGGTTAAATCACCAACCTTCTGATCAGCAACCCAGTGCATAACTCACTACCCACTTAGAGCTCCTTACCTTAGAATCCAAGAGGATCTATACTCCTTAAAAGCTTAAATATAGTACAACATCCATGACTAAGAACCAGGTAAGGTGTACCTCACAGAGTTGCTTTAATAATTAAATGAGATAAATGAACTCACTGCCATTGAGTTGATTTCAACTCATACATAGCATAGTGCCCAGTAAATACACTGGCTTAATACATGGTAAACATTATTATATTTAAACAGACAGATGTGATACAGTTAAACCAAAATACCAATGAAAGAAAGTGTCTTCCATTCATTGGATGACTCTGACAGAGAACAGATCTACGGACCATGCACAGTGTTATGTGAAACACTTCAGAATGACTCACGCCAAGTATTCAGCAGCCTCCCTCACTACTACAGACCAATTATTTTTTTAATCTTTATTTTTGAACTTGCCTTTAAAATTCACTAGAAGGAATTGTAGGACACTATTTTTATTTGGGTGAACTTAGTCCTCATCTTTAAAATAGACTTATGGATGCAGTGATTAAAGAGCTCAGCTGCTAACTGGTAGGCCAGTGCTTCCAACCCACCAGGAACTCTGTAGGAGAAAGATGTGGTAGTCTGTGTCCATAAATATTTAACGAAACTCCTATGAAGATAGCATACTCTGTCCTATCACTCAATGTCATTGAGTGCCTTCTGACTCATAACGACCCTACAGGACAAAAGAGAACAACCCCTGTGGGTTTCAGAGACTGTAACTCTGTATGGGAGTAGAAAGGCTGTCCTATAGGGTCATATTAATTGGAATCAACTCAACAGAAATCAATAATCCTCACCTATACTCTCAAATCTTCTACAACAGACTCGGGCCTTGCTCTTATCATTTTGTCTTTTCCTTCTCCATTATAGTACAGAATTGTCACTTCCTTGAGAAGATTCAGGGGAGAATTTGCTATACCTTGCTCCCTGGCATCTAACACAATGTCAAGTTTGTTTCTAGGGTGTGTAAAGAAGTTTCAAAAATGAGAATCAGGTGTGGGATGGAAGACATTATCTATACATGGAAAGAAGCTATTCAGAGATGAAGCATTGAAGATTAACCTCACCATCTACACACTACTGAAATCAGTAGGCCAACTTTATTATACACCTTGATGATAAAGCTCACTACCTCAGAGACAATTAAAATTTACTTAATGTTATACAATGGTGTCCTTCACAAATAAGAAATATTCAGAAATGTGGGAAAATGGTATTTTCAAAAAATTCAAATGGATGTTCTGTATTACTGTTTAAAATATCCATTAAATGCAAAATAACATGCTTGAAAGTATAAATTGCATTTAACTACACTGAAATTTTAGACTTTGATAGAAATTAAGATCCTAATTTTAATCGTAACTTTTCAGGTCACCAAAGAAAATCTACACCAAAAACATCGACAAAATGACATCTCATAGAAGTGGTTCCAACACCTCTGGGATTTCAGAGTTCCTCTTGAATTGTTTTGTAAGGTCCCCACGCTGGCAGCTCTGGCTGTCCCTGCCCCTAAGCCTCCTCTTCCTCCTGGCCATGGGGGCCAATGCGATTCTCCTCATCACCATCCGGCTGGAGGCCTCTCTTCATCAACCCATGTATTATCTACTCAGCCTCCTCTCCCTGCTGGACATTGTGCTCTGTCTCACTGTCATCCCCAAGGTCCTGGTCATCTTCTGGTTTGACCTCAGATCAATCAGCTTTGTTGCTTGCTTCCTCCAGATGTACATCATGAATTGCTTTCTGGGTATGGAGTCCTGCACATTCATGATCATGGCCTATGACCGCTATGTTGCCATCTGCCACCCACTGCGGTACCCATCGATCATCACTGACCAATTTGTGATCAAGGCTGCCATTTTTGTTTTGGCCAGAAATGCCATTATTACTGTATCTGTTCCTATACTCTCTGCTCGACTCCATTATTGTGGGAGAAATGTCATTGAGAATTGCATTTGCGCCAACATGTCTGTTTCAAGGCTCTCCTGTGATGATGTCACCATCAATCGCCTCCTTCAATTTGTTGGTGGTTGGACTCTGCTGGGATCGGACCTCATCCTTATCTTCCTCTCCTACACGCTCATACTTCGAGCTGTGCTGAGACTCAAGGCAGAGGCAGCTGTGGCCAAAGCCCTAAGCACATGTGGCTCCCACTTCATCCTCATCCTCTTCTTCAGCACCATCCTCCTGGTCTTTGTCCTCACTCACGTGGCTAAAAAGAAAGTCTCCCCCGATGTGCCAATCTTGCTCAATGTCCTCCATCATGTCATCCCTGCAGCCCTCAACCCCATTGTTTATGGGGTGCGCACCCAAGAGATCAAGCAAGGAATTAAAAAATTACTGAAGAAAGGGTCGTAATAAATGCAAGAACTTTCTCTCTGTATTCCTAAAATACAACTACTTATAATTCAACAGTGAGAAGTTGGTTTGAAATCCATAGCTTTTAGACATAATTGCAAGTAGAGAATCAAGTTTATTTCTAAAATAATTTAATTCTTAAACAAGTTCTTAACTTTATCAAAATTAGGCAGTAGATAAGATCAGTGGGTGTATCTCATGTAAAGTATGTGATGTGGGTTAGGCTTGTCTCTAAGTACCATTTTAAAACTCAGGAAAAAAGATACGAAAAACAAATTACTTGCACAAATAATTTATTAAAACTTATTCTGCTGAACTGTGGTGTTTCAATTTTATTTCCCTGTTTGAATCAGGGAGAAAAGAAAGCTGGTGAATTTGGTAGTGAATGATTCGTTTACTTCTTTATGCTAAAATATTTAGAGGTTCATATAAAAGCATTTCAAACAGACCCTTGTCTTTGGTTTTGGAAAGCTTGATTATTATGTCTTGATGATCTTTTTACTGTATTTTACATGTTCCTGTATACTATTCCCCCTCCCCCAAAAAAGGACTAGAGCAAAAGTAACATGACATCTATCTTCAAGGCAAATTCTGGTGACAGCAATTATGTGTCAGCGAGCCTCCTGCCTGTGGTCAGTCTGTTCCTCTTGTTTCAGAACCATTCCATGTACACACTACTAGGGTAAATTCAAACTTGAAATATGAACCTTTTTTTTTTAGGGTTAAGAACAACCTTAAGTATTAAAATATTTTTTTAGTGTTCTCTGTTTTCAAACATACTCGTAGTTTAGTTTTTATCTTAACACGCTTTGTGTAGGAAGAGCTTTAAAATTCATTCAGCTCTGGTTACATTTACAATACATTCTTAGGAGATAATAAATAAGCCATTCTTTTAAGCAAAAAAAAAAGGTGACTCCATACTAAGATACCAATATTGATTGGTTACATGAATTCAGCTTCCATCAGCCCTTGGCTAGACTTGACTGGAGGTAGAACCGAGTTAGATGGGAGGTCATTGAATCTGACCGGTGTACAGTTACAAACTCCAAATATAAGGGAAAATAAAAGGGACCCAAACAATTGTACAGCTGGATAAATTTACTGGGATTCCTGTAATTGAGGTAGAGGAAGGTAGAATATTTAACTGTATTAGTGAAAGGTTTTATTTTTTTCTTTCAAATGAGAATGTATTTGATTGTACCTTGCTGTAGATCTAAAATCTTGCTTTAAAATTGTATCCTCCAATTTGAATATAAAAACATCATTGCTCTGCCGAATTATGTTAATGAATATTTTGTTCTTATTAAAATGGAATAATTTATCATATATTTGCCAAAATTACTACATAAATGTTTATCAATAAGCAGGACTGTCATTTAGATCAAGATGCAAAGTTTTAAGTGAGATTTAAATATGATTTATGTGACTTAAATATCTATCTTTTACTTGACCCTCATACCTGACAAGTACCATATTCCAGTTGCTTACTTATACTGCTAAATTTGGATATTTATTAAGAATTTCAAAAGTACAGTTGATGAGAAGAATTCTTTATAGAAATGGAAGACATTGTTTAAAATAAGATTTTTAATATTCCATGTAAACTGCACTACCTTCTTATGTAATAGAAACTATATTCATCCATGGACTTCCAAAAAAAACAAGCAAATCTGTCTTCCAAGAAATACAGCAAGAATACTTCTTAGAAGCAAGGATAGTCAAACCAGTAAATCAAGTCACCACCTGAGGATGAGACACTGGGAACTGCATGATCTATGCCCCTTCACTTCTCTGTAGCTGACCCTGAAAGCTGTCAAAGTCCTGCCATGTTTCCATTGACCTTGAGTCCACATGAGTCTGCACCCACTGGTCTGTGATCTTCCTGCATTCTGCACCATTGCATGTGGCTGTGTGAGTCTAAAGATGCATTAGTATTGGACTTAAAGACTTGAGTTGGACTGGGTTAGAATGCATTCTTGATATATAATTATTTATTGATATAAAGCGCTTTCTTTATGAGTGTCACTGGATCTGTTTCTCTAGTCAACCCAGCCTAATATAACCCTCAACAAGAAGAATTGGCACGGTGGCTATTGTATCAATGGGCAATAACAATTGAGTGGATGGCAGAGGATCTGGCAGAGTTCTCTTCTGTAGTATATAGGGTTGATACGAGTCAGAACCAATTCCATGGCACCTAACAACAACATCTTCTTTCATCATTTACTTCTCTCCACATTTTATCTCCTAAACAATGGAATCTCTTAAATTATTGTCACCCGTAGCTTTAATTCTCATTTACCGCTTCAGTCTAACCCATTAAGGTGTCTTACCTACATGATTGAAATAAAGTCCCAACAGGTTTCCCTTGTCCTACTCTTATGCATCTGTCCTGTCCCTGCCATATGAGCTAAGTATCAGAGGCACTCTGAATGTAAAGATTGAGAATTAAGTGGAAGGTATTGAACGTTTTAAATTCATGAGTAATTGGGGAATCAGTAAGGGCAAATAGTACATGTACAGAAGATCATCAACATTGTGGTGGGTTCAAGAAGGATTTCTAGAGAGGATAAATATTCTGCTAGCAACTGAGAAGGATTTTATTGCCAAGTGAAGAGAGCAACACGTGTTACTTGTGAAATTCAGATGAAGCGGGCGCTCATCTCATCATCCAGAACCCTGAGCTCTGGCTCACAGTCTCATTGCTGGTACTTGAGTAGCTTGATAATCCCCTGCTTGATTTCTTGAGTTCGTACCCCATAAACTATGGGATTGAGAGCTGGTGGGATAAGGTGGTGCAGGACATTAAGAAGAATGGGCACTTCTGGTGGCACGTTCGTTCCTGCTTTGTTTGTGAATATGAAGACTAGAAGCAACGTGTAGAAGAAAAGTATCAGTATGAGATGTGAACCACAAGTACTCAAGGCTTTGGTGGCTGCACCACCTGACTGCAAACGCATCACAGCTCTCAGGATGAAGCAGTAGGATAGTAAAATGAGGACCAGATCAGACCCCAACAGGCACCAGACACTCACAAATTGATAGAGCTTATTCAGGCGAATATCCTCACAGGAAAGTCTTGCTACAGAAATGTTGGCACAGATACAGTTCGCCACCACATTACTGGCACAGTAGTTAAGTCTGGCAGCCAGAACCGGGGTGGGCAATGTGGTCAACAGATTTCGGAAGACAATAAAGATGGCTGCATAAATGACAAACTGTTCAGTGATGATAGATGGGTAGCGGAGGGGGTGGCAAATAGCTACATAACGATCATAGGCCATGACCAGGAAGGTGGAAGACTCCATGGGAAGGAAGGTATTCATGATAAACATCTGCAGGAAGCAGCCCGCAAAGCTGATGGGCTTCATGTTGAACCAGAAGATGAGCAGGACCTGCCAGAATTATTATTCTCAAAACTCCTGTGAATACAATCTTGCCCTAGGGGGTCTAAACCTCAATTACCTTCACCCATCCAACTCTCCACACCCCAAGCTCAGAATCTTATTCAGGACAGCATCCTCATTGCAAATACCTTCTTTGTACACCCTATTCTCCAGGGTCTGACTCAACTCCTTTCCATCTGTAGATCATATCCTCTAATTGGTAGTTTGCTTGTTTGTTTGTTTTTTCCCTCATTCTGTCCTTTCCTGAAATCCAGAGTTCTTAGTCAAAATCTAGCTAGAGATGGCTACTCACAAATGTATCAGAGGAACATCAAACTCAGTAATACCAATTCTTATCTGGACATCCACCAACTCCTCCATACTCATGAGAAATATCTTCCTATTATATATCTTATCTTATAAATGTCCTAAACACATATATATTAGAGAAAGGATATTCAAGACCCCTTGAGTAGGGGTGGAGGTCATTCACAGAAAAGAAAATATCCTAGAAGAAAAGGGCTAAAATGTGGGAATATTATTGGCTTGAACATTGAGTAAGGCCTTAGAAAGTAAAAATTAATATATCTTTAGAAAGGCACGGTCATTAAAAATGACAGGGGACGTAGCTAGGAATTATAAAGGTGTGGATGATTCATGGACGGTTTTCCTTGAAGGGTGGGGAAACTTACAAGAGCAAAAAAAGTGCTGTTGAGGAAAAGATGAATGAGCACCTAGAATATAATTTGGGAGGCATTGTTGGGGGAGACAGGGTTGGAAAAATGTCTGACCTTAGGGATGACTGTCAAGCAGAGAATGACATCCAGCATGGACAGGATAGCAAGCAGGTAGTACATAGGCTCATGCAGAGAGGCCTCCTGTTGAATGGCAAGTAGTAACACAACGTTTGCCCCAAGGGCCAAAACCAGAAGAGGAGCTAGAGGTATAGAGAGCCAGTGCTGTGTATCCTGCATCCCTGGGAAGCAGATCATTAGGAATTCGGTCACCTGGACCGCTGTGTTGTTGGGAAATGTTACCATGACTTGTACATGGACCTGGAACTGTCTGAAAGAAAAGATGTTAGTTCAGGATTTTAATGATCCCCTAATACATCTGCCTCCAGTCTAGGTTTTCCCTAATCTTCTCCACCATCCTATTGATACAATTATAATTGGGTTGTATCACCCCTTTGTTAAAATAATTTCCTTCACAACTATAACTTTATGGATTAAAAAGGATCAGTTATCTGGCATCAAAGAACAAAAAATTATATCATTGTGTACTCACCTCCATAATACGATCGTTGAAGACAAATAGGTGCATAAGCAAATGTGGCAAAGAAAGCTGATAGTGCCCGGCTATTAAAAGGTATAGTGTCTGGGGTCTTAAAGGCTTGAAGGTAAAAAAGCAGCCATCTAGCTCAGAAGCAACAAAGCCCTCATGGAAGAAGCACACCAGCCTGTGCAATCACGAGGTGTCAAAGGGATCAGGTATAAGGCATCATCAGAACAAAAAATCTTACCATAGTGAATGAGGGGGGGAGTGCAGAGTCAAGACCCAAAGCCCATTTGTAGGCCACTGGAGATCCCTTTGCAGAGGGGTCTTGGGAGGAGA